AAATATATTGTTAGAGGTGAAAACACAATCCAAAACCTTGTTATCTCACAGACAATTTCCAAAAGGAACATCAGGAAGAGTATTTTCAACAAAGCGAGTGGGTAAAGCATGAAGGCGTCTCATACAGCTGCTCTGGCAAGGCTAAGCCCCACAACAGCTGACTAAGGCCTGAAATAACAGGAAAATCTCACTCAAATAAGATACTGCTGCAGGGAGCTGGAAGTAGGTCTCTCTGGCTGTACAACTAATAATTACATCAAATTGAAAGCTCTACTGATCACTGAGGAGCAGCAGAAAGCAGGCTCAAGCCAAGTGAAATAATCAGACCTGAAACACAGGTCTGGGAAAATCCATGGCTACCCTGATGACATGGGATAGAGGCTTTAGACAGCAGAGGCAGTGCCAGCTGCTCATATTGCCATGTATTCGGCACTCCCAAGTAATTGTCCCATGTTCTTCTTCCACTCCAGAAAATTTAATTCTTGGGTTATAGTTTGTCTTTTTCTCCATATTTGCAGTTGCTCAAAAATCTGACCCTCAGGTTGCCATATCTTTGTTATCCTCACAGGAAATAGGTCCAAAGTCAAGTGCTTTCCTCCCCCCACCCCGCCCAGTATTTGAACTTTTGGCCCTTTTCCCTGAGGGACAGGAAAAAGCAGGGGCTTTTTTTCCCCCTCTCTACCAGGGTTGGATGGGGATTGCCAATAAAGGTGGTTGTTTCTTCTTCTCCCCACCTGATATGTTAAGGGAACTCAGTGGAAACTCAGGGAACTCAGGAAAACACAATGAAACTTTTTCTTTTTTGGGGGGTGACAAGATCATGATGGTTATTTTTACTGTTCATCTGTTTATGTTTTGCAGGAAATCTGTGAGAATCCTCGCTTTATTATTGGTGGAGCCAACAGAACAGATATTTGCCAAGGAGAATTAGGTAGGAAATCTCACTTCTAGCTCCATTTTACTTATTTCAAATCTGCATCATCACCTAGTACTTACTTAATTTTTCTCTTGTTCCCAAGAGGATTTTTGGAGTCCTTTGCCCCCTCATTTCACCTGCCTCTTCTGCTCGTTCACAGGTGACTGCTGGTTCCTGGCAGCCATTGCTTGCCTGACACTGAATAAAAAACTCCTCTGCAGGGTCATCCCTCACGACCAGTCCTTTATACACAACTATGCCGGCATCTTTCACTTCCAGGTGAGTCCCTCCATCTACGCAGAAGCTGCTCTGACTGTAGTTGCAGTCACACTGCATGTTGCTTTGCAAGGGGACAGGGGATGTGTTATAACGACTCGAGCATCACCTAGCTCTGGAGGAAGAGCTCTGAACAACCAAGACACAGAAGAGGCAGGCAGGAGGATCCCAGGAGGTTTTTTTCTGTTTGCCCTTACACAGTTCTGGCGCTACGGAGACTGGGTGGACGTCGTCATCGATGACTGCCTGCCCACCTACAACAACCAGCTGGTCTTCACCAAGTCCTCCCAGCGCAACGAGTTCTGGAGCGCTCTCCTGGAAAAGGCCTATGCCAAGTAAGAAATCCGCTAGACTAACCACAGCTGAGGCAGTATGTGGGGAGGTGATCAAAGAGCTACGTATTGGGCTGAAACAGGCACTGCAAGGGGCTCCGAGGAGAAGCACTCTTTTTCACAGATGGCTTAATGGCTTAGAATGGGATAAAACACATTTTCTAGTTTAATTTACTACTCACTCCGAGATCTACATCTGAATCTCAGTATCTTTTTTTCTTTTCTTTTTATTTAAAACATGTGCAAACACCATCTCTTAAACCTTTACATTTTAGGTCTACCAAAAACTATGGATTTTTCCAGCATGTATGTATTTATGTGGGTATATAGTATTTATGTGGGTATATACACATATGCACACACAAGACTAATATATTAAAGAAATGTGTGCGTGTGCATATACACACACACACACGATAATTTTATTTTCCTTTCTCTTTCCAAGACTCCATGGTTCCTATGAGGCTTTGAAAGGGGGCAACACCACAGAGGCCATGGAGGACTTCACGGGAGGAGTGACAGAGTTCTACGAGATAAGAGATGCCCCAAAGGACATCTATAAAATTATGAAGCATGCGATTGACAGAGGCTCCCTCATGGCCAGCTCAATTGATGTGAGTTAATGTGAACCCTGTAGATGAGCCCTAGCCTTCGCAAAGGAGATAGACATTTGCTATGCGAACTAAACCAAATAATTCTAACATGTTACATATATTTGATTGCTAATGGAGGGGTCTATCTAGAACATGGGGGAAGACTTCAGTGGAAGTCCCTCACTGGCAGACAGCAAGGGCCAAAAGGTGAATTAGCAGCAGCTGAACATGAAGGTGGGGGAAAGAGGGAATGATCAGCAAAAATAGCACACATTTAATTGCTCTAACCCAGTAAAATTAGTACTATGGTTCTGCAGCTCTATTAACACAAAAATCTTCAGGTCAAAGATGCTAATAGTAATGCAAATGCTTAGAAAGTTGACCTTCACTTCCCTGCATGGACCTAGAATATCTCCATTTACTACACCTTATTCAAAAAGCAAAGTAGTAAAGCTAATTTCAACACTAGTTATGAAGCAGGACGTTTCAGTAAAGGTACCAGAATAACCAGTGCTGTTGACTACTGTACATGAGCGTGGTTCATAAGGAGAGAAAAGAGAAGTTAACCTGGCTATTTTTCACCACTCTGATCTTTCCTATATTATTTCTCCTCTTTCTCCCTGCCTCCCCTTTCTGCACTATACTTTTCTCCTCCGTACCAGGATAATTTAGGCTTTTCCTATGGATCAGCTCCTCGCAGTGACATTGGGGAAATGATTGCTCGAATGGTGAAGAACCTAGAAAATGCACAGATGACCCAATCTACCGCGGACTACCCGGAGACGGACGAACGGCCAGCCTGGGTTCGTATGGCTCAGGAAGCAGTTGACTCCACAGATTCCACTGCATTTTTGTCTCTACCCAGAGCATTAGAGAAACATATCACCTATGTTTTTAAATCCTTATTTCACTTCACTGAGTTATCCACACACACACAAGATCTGCTATTAAGGAAGCTATTTGAGTTATGTGTAAAAGGACTTCGGTCCTTTAAAACACAAGGACTAGTGCACTCATCCAGAAGGTTTCATTAAGACTTAGACCAAGGGCTGTTGGCTTGTGGCATAAGTTTTCCAGAGCTTATTCCAAAGTGGCATATTTTTGTTGTTCCCGGGAACAGGAAGTGATCAGCAGCTTTTAACAATTCTTTTTCTTGGAAAGTATGGAATGGGGAAGAAAATTAAAATACTAAGAGAAAAACATCCCAAGGTAGTCAGGGAGAAGCATCTATAGCCTTCACTCCCTTCACAAGAGAACTCATTTTGATACCTAGAGTATTAGAGAAGTTTGCCCACAAATGAAGGGGAGTCTGGTCTGTAGATGGGCTTGGAGAGGGGCAATCCACAGAGAAAGGCAGAGAACTCCTTTACGACTATCAAATAGTAAATTCTTTGGTTAAAATACATGACAAGGAAAAGGGGAAAATATCGAAGATTACAGTCACAATACCCTACTTCTGCCTGCTGGAATTTCTTCATATCTAGAAAATGTAAGAAAGTAACATTAGAACAATTAAAAGAAAAATCTTATTTGGAGAAACCTGAAAACTTCCAAATATGAGGAAGAACATGTTGTCCTCTCCCTGTCAGACAGTTGCCATACTCTGCCCTTTAGGGACACACCTTTCAGAGAAAGAGAGCTACTTTTTGCCTTTTACAGAGAAAAAGAAGAAATTACACCACCTAAAAATTTTGCTTATGCAAATTGTCTTCCTCATTTTCAGCAGAAACAGTTATTTTCCTCTTTAAAACCCCATTTAGTCTTCCTAAAAAAACAAAATGATGTAATTCTTTGGGAGAGCAAAATACAACTGTTTTGATTTGCAAGCATGACTATCCAAATCACCCATGTTTTGGCAGTAGCTTCCTCCCTCCCCAGGAACCAGTCATATTTTTTATAGTTTGCTGTTCCAGTTGTACTTGTTTTGCTGTTTATTTTTGTTTATCACCAGAAAGTCCCAACTCTTAAAGAAGAGAGGTGGAGAGGGCAGACTGCACTCCAGAGAAGTAGTCTGGGGTTAGCAGCAGCAGGAGAAATTAATATTCATAAATGGATAAAGAGTGGAAGGGTTTCTCGTAAGTAATGAGGACGACGACTTGAAAAGATACGAAGAAAAAAAGAAAGCAGATCTGAGGTTATAGGGAGAAAGGGCATAGAAATAGGGAAAACAAACAAACAAGCAAGCAAAAAAAA